GTTAATATAACGTGTATTTCTTTTATGAGATGTTGATCAAATGTGTGTACTTTTAAGTAAAAATGTAGCTTCACCATTTCTCAAGCTCGACCATTTAAACACTTTGGGGCAAAATTTAACCTCAGTTGATAACACACTATATTAGACACTTTGAACACAACAATTTTGAAATGAAAAACATACAAAATTATGGACAGTCGATCTTTTGGAAAATCTTTCATAGCGAGGTTGGAATCCGCTTGATCATACTTAAAATGAGTGTTCCTTAACTGTCGTCACTACAAATAATATGATAACCATGTGAACAGACTGAGGAATAAAGAATAAAACTTCTGTTTTTATCAATAGGTTTCATCTTGTTTTATCGTGGTAAACGCTGAATAAAACAAGGAATTATATCTAACATTGTGATCAGCATTGCTGTTTAAGTAAAACATCTATAGTCGGTCATCGTATAGCTTCCCTTAAATCTTCAGAAGACTCGTGCCCATTCAGGAAGAAGCACGCAAGACAAAAATATCACACACGTGTTTGCACCTACATTTGGTAAATGATTGAGTATGCCGATAATGAAATACACGACATTATACAGCTGTTTCGTCCTCTGGGGGCTGATCGGTAAAACTAGGGGCCAACAAACATAGAAATCCAATTGGTCTACAATATCTGTCCATTAAGGTAACCAGGAAACGCCTAAGACATAAGATCACTTTCTCACCAAAACATCGAATATATCACCAATGTCGTGACGTCAGCAGCGAAACAGGTAAGTTACTAAATATTCGTATGGTAAATCATGTTTTCGTTGCCATTCACACTTGTAAATATGTATCTTGTTTCGATTAATTTGAAAGGAATTCGAAATCAATGGTAAGTTTACACAAACCGAAAGTTGGAACAAAATATTAAGTTTTGTCTAAAAATATTACTCACATTTTATCGAAATTGCTAGATCATATGTTCTGTGATGGTGTTTCTACAATTCAAGTTTAATCAGGCATGTGTTTTTAAGTAAAAACACTATATTTCAATGTTTTCATGTTACATTTGTTTCTCTTTAGCCTTTATGATAAGTATCACCTTAAATCGATATACAATCATACAACAGACGACATATGTAACTTATACAATTTAACTTCCTCCGAACACTGGTCACTCTATTCAGACAGATGCTCTCCTCCCAAATATGGCTGTAATTGCTTGGTAGCCTCACAATTATCAGATCATAATTATTTTACGAGTAGCCTCCCATGGAACGATAAACTACCGCAATACAGGTAGTATTTAATGATCTGGGCACAATTCCTTCGTTTAAGAAAAAAATGTATGATACATGTAGTCATACGTATATCTTTACTGCAGTATACATCACACTCCACTATAGTTATAAGCGTTGTATTATATCATGTGCACATCCAGGAAAAAAACAAAACAAAACCTGTAAACTTTGTAACATATGTATGCACATGATTACACATCTGTACAAGTTCAACCAGTACAAATATGTTACCCAGATAGACGCACCAGTACAATGTTGTTGTGTGTATGGAAACACAAGTATAATAAGGTGCATATATGTACACACGTCTGTATATGTAGCTAGATATCTTATTGTACACCAGTATTTAAGCAAAGAAGTATTAACGACAGTGCAGACAAAGTAAAAGGAATTTGTCTAGTTTCCATGGCAAACTGCACTCCTGTTCAAGACAGAAACGTGGACACGTACATATCACAACAAATAATAAAGCAGACTATGTTCGTTCACCAGGATAGTTATATAACATATATGTCCAAACATGTAAAGTAAAACTACACATATATACCCTAGTATAGTTATAAAACAGCTATAAATACAATGAACAATTTTAACTACATGTATGTAGTCATTGTATTTTTAAAACATGTATATACACACATGTAAAATGTAACATCATATATGTACACCAGTATAGTTTTATAACATATTTTTCAGACATGTACAATTTAACGTCCTATATGTACACAAGTATACTTATATAACTTGCATGTTCACACTTGTACAATTAAACTATTTATGTGTACACCAGTACAGTTTAAACACATGGATGTACACACATGTACAATTTAACAAATACAAGTACACCATTATAATTATGTAGATTGTATGTACACACTTGTACAATTTAACTACAAATATATCCACAATTATAGTTATATAGCGTGAATGTACACACATGTACAATCTAACTACATGTATGTGTTCCAGTATGGTCATATAGCATGTGCGTACAACATGTATATACACACATGTAAAAGGTAACCTCATATATGTAGACCAGTATAGTTTTATAACATATTTTACAGACATGTACAATTTAACTTCATACATGTTCTCAAGTATATTCATATAACATGTATGTACACACAACTACAATTTCACTACATATTATGTGTACTCAAGTATAATTACATAACATTTATGTACACAAATGTACAATTTAACTACATATATGTTCTCCAGTATGGTCATATAACATGCATGCTTACACATGTACAATTTAACTACAAATATCTACACCAGTGTTATTATATAAAATGTATGCACTCAAATGTACAAGGTAACTAAATATATATACACCAGTATCATTTTAATACATTTATGTACACACTTGTACAATTTAACTACATATATGTACACCAGTATTGTTAAGTAACATCTATGTATACACATGTAAAATTTTACGAAATACATATTCTCAAGTAAAGTCATATAACATGTATGAGCAGCCATTTATAATTTAACTACATATATGTACACTAGTGTGATTATATAACATGTATGTACACACATGTACAATTTAAATATATATATGTACAACATTATTGTCTAGTTACACCTATATACACGACAGTAATATATTTCACTATATATGTTTCGATTCTGTAATCTTAGGATTAATACAAACTGAGAGTCTGTCTAAGGTTATGTGATATTATTAAAATACAGAAATTAATTCTTTATTACCTGCTTACAAAATACATTGGTTTTAACATGACATATCAACGTTTCTTAAATAATCAAGGGACTTCATCGCTAAGGGATCTCTGTAGTTTAAATGGTTTTCTGTGTAACATGAAGAGTTTCAAAGAATACGTATACCTCACAATCTACTGCATTAACAACCTATGGAAGATAAACAGTAAAATGAAAATCCAATGTCAGGAAGGGGCATGGCACATAAATTATATTTCCATTTGACAGAAAAAATATAACTTTTTTTTTCTTTCTGTAACAGTTTTCTGGATTGCCCATGGCAACAAGGAAATGCCGACATCAAATTTCATTGACAGACATTCGAAGACAACAAAAAAACGAAATTGTCACCGATATCGTGACGTCAGCAGCCAACAAGGTGACTTTTTAATGAGTTCTTACTGTTAATGATGTTTTCGTTGCCATTCAAACATGTAAATATGTTCATTGCATTGATTAATTTCACAAAATACATAATCTAATCGGTAAGTCGATATTTAAGTGAACATTCACAACAAATTAATTATACCTATTTGACGAGTTACCTCCCCTGGAACATTAGTAAGCCAGGACAAAGCGCTTTGACGTTACATACGGTATATAGTCAATGATGTAGGTAGAATTCCTTTGATTGAGGTTTTCTATCAAAAACACGATCATGTCCATTATGAAGCTTAAACTTAGTTACGGTGTGGCATGTGTGCCTGAGGTTGATCGTAATGCACACACGTACGTACATGTCATTAAAGTTTTGCTTCTTAACGACCTTACAATGTAATATACTACACACATGTGTAGATGTACATTATGTAGTAGTAGCGTTAATTATGCGATCGTAAGTGTTTGTATCATGCCATATGTGGTAATGTAACGTGTTAAACATGCATACACACAAAGGTGAACATGCTGTAATATGACACATCAGACTAATGGTGTATGCGTTACGTGCTAGTTGTATCTGGACACGTGCTATTAGTAAAGTATCGTAATAACGTTCACAACAATGGATTTTAACTATTTGACGAGTTACCTCCCCTGGAACAGTAACAGAAGCATACGGTATATAAACATAAACTTTATTTATTTTACAACAATTATGAAACAAGTTATTTCAATTTATATTAATCACTCTTGTTTATATTCAATGATATAGGTAGAATTCCTATGATTGAGGTTTTCTATTCAAGCTATCGATTATGTACATTATGAAGCGGTGTGGTATATGTGCCTGACATTGGCAGTGCTATTAGTTAAGTATTGTAATATGCGTATTGGGACAAATGTCATCCTCCCGTTTCAAACATAATAGTACGAATAGTACCACCAGCTGCATAGCAGCCAACATGCAGTGTACCTTAATGCTAATCCTGAGGTGACAGGACATAGTAGAGTTAAAACTTTGTTTTGTAATCACCCAGTGCGTGTTATTTGGAATTTACCATATGGATTTGCTGATACTTGTTCCTTCATAAGAAAAGTGAAGTTACAAGAACAACATTTTTAATTTTAAAAATTGATCAAAATAATCATCATCAATATTGTAAGCAAGGATTAATTAGCCGTCGATTAGCTCAATATATTAATGGAAATAGCTATATTGTGGGAAGTGTGAAATCAGTCGATTTTTTCATTAAGTTGTCCGAAACATCCCAGATCAAAAGGTAGCGGACCTGGACTGAGGTGATCATAAGCGATCATTTCATATTGGAAAGAGTGTTCGTCTAGAGTTCGGAGGTCCCAAATTCGAGTTCGAATCTGGTAGTTTCCTCTCCTATTACATTCGGTGCTAGCTAAATATACCAATGAAAGGTGTTATACGCTATCGTGTATCTAGAGTTCTGAACTCTCGGGTTCGAGTCCCGGTCTTGCCGTTCCTTTTCACGCCCCTTTTGCTTATTCATTTATTACGTATATCGGTCTATCAGGTGCGCTAGGAATAAATTAATGCTGCACCAAATATTTGGAACTCTCGAGTAGCTTCCTCACCTATATGTATAATTTGTTTTGCATATATCTGGTTATTTCAATAGATTTAACTTGATGGGCTCTAGAAATATATCGTCCTCACGTTACCATGACAGTAGATCGCGACTATGAATATTGGTCACCGAAAAGAATGAAAGGCATTTTTTAGCGAATTTGCCGTATATCGAGCATTATCGTAAAACTGCATTTGTTTTCGATTTTGATTTATATTAGTTACATTATCACACAAAATTACAAATGTGAGCATCATAAAATATATACAGTCGACATGCCAGCAGGCTCAGAAATGCTGTCAACAACGTGACGTCATTGATATATGTATACATTGCAACAGTGTATATTTTGTATGAATACATAATTGAGCAGCGGATTGTGTCACATCATAAGCTTTCCTGCTTACATTATTAACTTTTATAGAATTCCTAAAATCGGCTGTTATGACCATATCTCACGATGTATGATAGCGAAAATATATTGAAAATATGTAGCTTCATACTTCTTTTGTATATTACAGAGAAAACCGCATATTACTATCCATTACGGACATGGCAGAAGCTGCCCCGATACCAGAATACAGATGCTTGATTTGTACGACACCTTACAAAGATCCGAGGAAGCTGCCCTGTGGTCATACCTTCTGCTACCGATGTCTGACGTCATACATCGAAGCGGAACACGTCACAGCAGACGAGGATCGGCACTACTTCCCGTGTCCGGTCTGCGATGCACCGAGTGCTCCTAGTGACGTCAGTGCGGATGTAAGTACATGGGCGGAATGTTTCCCTATAAATAATTTGTACCTTAACCCTATAACAGCAGAGACGTCTGATGTTCATCTCTGTGCACCATGTCAACGAGGCAAAGAATCAAATCGAGCCGAGGTCTGGTGTACAGACTGTGGTGAAAAGCTCTGCAAACAATGCAGAATATATCATGAGCGGAGCAAGCCATCATCAAACCATCGGCTTGTCTCCGTTTCCACTACTGTCGGAGGAATCTGCGATGTTATGGTCAACGAAATCTGCCCCAGTCACGATGGAAAGCAGTTGGATGTCTATTGTGTAGACCACAGTGTCATGTGTTGTGGTGTCTGTGTGTCGGTGTCACACAGGCACTGTAACAATGTTAAACCAATAGAGGATTTGGTCAGGAAGACCAAGGCCGGACAACACACCAGGGAGACAGAATGGAAGGAGCTGAGAGAGGAAACTAAGAAGATGCTAGACGATGACGATTTGGGGGTGACCCTGCTTACCTCCACAGAAAAGGAAGTGTCGGCGGAAATGACGAACAGGATACAGCAAGCTAAAGATAAGCTTGATAACCTCAACGCAACATACCAGTCAGACCTCGCGGATAAGTGCAAAGCACTCAGGAAAAAGATATCTGCTCGACGGATGTGTGTCAACACATTCCACACCAATGCGGAAAATTCACATCTATTGATGTCACATTTAGATCAACAGATATCAGAACGTCATAAGTTTTTCATAAGAGAACAATCAAAAAATCAAATATCAGGACATTACCGTCGTATGGATCAAAACACAAAGAAACAACCGAATAGATTTGACATCACACTTAAGTTAGGAACAATAATTGACGAAATCATGAAAATGACAACCTTGGGGAATGTTGACGTGACCTCGACAATATCAGCTGTATCTCAGAACGCGAATGTATGTATAGGCACAATGATTGAGACCTTGCTTTCGACACCTTCAGCTTCAACATTAGCAGACTCGACTTCGACCTCCGACCTCACGGGTTCACTGCAGTATTTGACCGTAAAGGCAGCGGTTGATGTATGGACCGGATCGGTATCTTGTGTAAAGACAGTAGACGAAAGTACACTAGGAGAGTCAGTTACACCTTTGTTGACGGGAGGTATCTTTACTGACAACAATGAATTACTTATGACAGATTACAACAACAGAAGACTCCTACTGTTTGATGACACGTATTCCTACGTGAGAGAATTTAACATTAATGGACATCCAACAGATATAGTACGTGGACGTGCTGAGGATGAGGTGTTTGTGGCTGTAAACGACAATGAAATACTTAAGTATCAACTAAGGAATGGTCAGCTAACCTTGATCAACAAGATCAGCTGTCCACAAGGAACATGGGGTATATCAGTTCTCGGGGACAACATCCTGGTCGGTACGGATGGTAGTGTGAAGGTTATGACAGATGGGAAGGTGACCAAGTCAATAAAGAAACGTGGAGGTAACACATACATTACCACATCTCCTTCTAGTGCCACCGTGTATCACAGAGATAACAATGACGTAGTGTGTAGACGACTGGACAGACACGCAGAGGTCTACAGGTACAGAGATCCTGGTCTGAAAGACCCTATAGGTATTGGACTGGACCGGGATGACAATGTATATGTATGTGGAAATCATTCTGGAAATGTTCACCTTGTTTCACCTGACGGGTCACGTGGGAGGGTACTGGTGTCCAAGCTATCTGCTATCAATAAGCCGTGGTGTGTAGTAGTCCATCCAACCAAACAGGAGTTCGTGGTCACTTCTTTCCAGGAGTCCACGTCACTCGAGGTGTACAGATTTAATAGCAAATAAGTACAAATGTAATCCAATGAGAAATTTTGATATGATATTAGACAAATATTTAAGAACAAACCAGGAATCAATAGTCACTTCACTTGTCTACGTCTCTCTAGGTAAACAGAATTACTGATTATGAACTATTGTTGTGAGACAAAATCATTTAAACATTAGGAAAACATTTTAGAGCAAAGTAAATCCATGCAGGATCTCACACAAGTAGAGATATCAAAACAGTTACGATTTCATATGATGTCGTATGGAGTTTGAAATAGTTAAATATTTAATGTGTCCTATTATTATCAAACACATGCATGAAGAATTCCACATTTTGTGATTATTTAACCATGAACAAATCAAAGGATGATGCCGTCAAATCTGCCTTTGGTAGGAATTTCTGACGTCATGGTATATTTCTTGTGACGTCATGATGGATGGCATTTCACATGTAACGCTACATATCAGCGAGTACGAAGCTAAATATTTGTTGTTTATTTTGTCGCCACAATCATAGTATATCCTAGCACAGGACCAATAATACCAAAATGAGAAAAAAATAGTTATTCAAATCAAAATCGTTGTAACTATTGTAGTAGATATGATTTCGTTGTGAAAGATTAGGACAACTCTTCTATTTGTGCTCACTTTCAGTTTATTCAATAAGTGTATGGCAAGTGTTGTGAAACCAAAACAACAAGTACAAAACACATTTTACAGTCATAGATATACATTTACAAATGCAAGGGAAATAACCCTTACACGATTACAATTACAACTTTTACGAAATACAACTAAACTCAAAATTTGACTTTGGAGTCCATATATTTGACCTTGGACGAGTCAAGGGTCATGGCTGTGGAGTGAAGAAGTTGAGTAGTGTCTCCTGTGTATTTTTGTCGATAATACATCAAAAACTGTCCGGAAATACCTAAAGTCCTGCATACGCATGCATTTTTGTATAGTGACATAACTTTAAATGTCAAACCTTTGAAAAAAGGAGCTGATAGTGACCTTTGTAGTCGATTTATTTACCACCTGTTACGTAAACACCCCACCGGATACGCAGGTGTACACGTGGAAATAGACATACAGGTACAGGTGCGCGTGCAGCGTGAATCTTATATGGTCCGAACACTGAGTACATATTGTACATTCTCAAACTTATATATTTGTCACTTATTGACAGTTTGTGTCCAGATGTCTTCACATCTAACTACTGATATGGAATAGTCCGTTACTGACATGAATACATGTACTGGTTTCAGTAATATTGCCACGTGCTTCGCTAAATTACACGTGCAGTTAACTTCCATTAGCACAGATGTGCTTGTCCTGGATAAAGTATCCAATCTACAATAGTTCGCAAATAACACAAATGAGCACATGAGTGAATTACATGAGTCAACTCTACCAAATTTTGAACAAAAATTACAGACAAGGTAACCGAGGAGGAGCACGAACGACTTAACCTGTATATATGGTACCGGAAGTGGAATTTTGTGATTCGAGGAGTCGCCAGTACACTACAGAAGAAACCCAGAGTCACTGAAATTAAAGTACGGGACTTTGGTATTCAAAAGCTAAAAAGTCGAAGGAAAACGCAGCGTGCATGCTTTTTACTGCAGTGCACCGTCTCCCAGGTTGCAGTGAGGGTAAAAACAACGTCATCACCCGACTAAGTAGTCTCCTGTACAGGGATGTGGTGATGGAGGCAGCTTTCACCCTCGCTTCCGGTTCCGGATATAGTGTGGTGCAGGACTTGCCCCATCGGCGAGCAAACGTCGAAGCGAACTACTGAAGGCTCGGAGGGACATGACACCATCAGAACGCTCAAAATACAAACTTGTTCACAAAAAAGATTATCCATTTGTTGAACTTGTAACAAAAAATGATCTACGTCAGGAACAAAAAATAGGTTGTGAATTTTGTAATTGTTATATTTCGTGTGTATTTTGATCGAGATGAAGTGCGGTAATTAAAAGGAAACAACAACATGTTTTTTCTTAGTAAAACACAGAGTCGAGTGGAAATCGATGAAGTTTTTTAATTTGTAATTGTAGAAACAGTGATCTTGTTAAAACTGTTAATATTTTTTTGTGGGTCTGAAAATTATGATTATTGTTGCTTTTTGTATAACAAAACACCATGACTTTTATTTTTCGATGAATGCATAATGCAAATGTTTGTTTAGAGTTGTCGTCCCTTGCACTTGAAGCGAGTGGCAAGGGCGGCAGCTCGGGTTGGGGATCGGTATCATGGGTAACTGCAAGTAAACCGCAATCGTTCTTGAAATGGTGCAGAATTGGAAGCGGAAAGTGCGGTTTTAGTTTGTATGTTTTATGTTTTAATACCTCAATTATACCTGTATATTTACAATATATATATATATATACTTTTTGAATGAAATATATATATATATATTCAGTTTAAATGCAGGTCATCTACGGTATCAAGGAATGTCGTATGGTTTGTATGTGTTCAGAGTTGTCGTTCTGATTAATGAATTGTATTGATTAATGTATATGCTAATTGTATTAATTGTATATCTATGTACTGTAAAACGCTTTAGAGTGGCATACAAATTATGTAAGCTAGATATGGTGATATATTAATTGTTGTATATTATTATTATCATTATTATTATTATTGTTATTGTTATGTTCTTAACACTTGGGCGCAGGGGGCGACAACTTCATTGTGAGAAACCGATCTCTGCCCGGAGTTGTCTTTCCTTACACTTACTTTACACTGTTAGTGAGTGCGGGGAACGACAACTCTTGGTAGAGACTGGGGTTGGTTACATATGATAACTGACTTTGTCCTCGGTCTTGTGCCGACACGGAAGTAGTCTACAATATGTCCGGGTTGTCGATGTGAACAGATAAAAACTACAATGTATCATATCATTTGAGTGGGTGTGTAAAAATATAATTGGATTGTAACTATATATGTGAGATTGTTCGGGGGGAATTAAATACTATTTTGTGAAAATGAAAACTCCAATACAATTTTAGCCAAGTGAATTGATTTGTGAGTATAAATTTATGAAATTTATACGACAGCACTTTTTCTGATATTTCAGGTGATAGTAAGTTGACAAGTATCAAAGTTAATAACTTATAGGTCTACATATTTGAAAACTGCAATAAATCTTGTAGTGATTATAGATAATGGAAACTAATGAGCCATATGAAACTATTAGCGTGTATAAATAAATGTGTAGGCAAATGAGCTGATTTAGTGTGTAAAATGACAACATTTTTTATAGTATTTCAGTTAATGCAATTCAAAAGATATCGATGCATTTACAATGAAATATTTTGGTGGCAAAAACAGAATATGGAAACACTTTGGCGCTATTAGCCAAATGAAATGTCTTTTGCTGTCGAATAATTATTTTATTTCAAATATTTGAATGTAACTAAACTTTGTATGAGTGTTTTTTTTGTGTTAATTTTTTTTCTCTATCTCTTTTTTTATAAATAACGGAGACGTTTTGTACGTGGAAGAGGTACGATGATTTTCTTTTATTTAATAACAATTGAAATTAATAATCACATCTCATACATCACACCACTAAGTACATTACTTGGAATATTAATGTACTTCACCTTGCAGATTGTAGAATAATGTATGTATATGTAAATACCTATGTCCGTTGGTTTCTTATTTTAAAACCATGTAACTATATCTGTGAAAATGGGTTGTTAGCAATTTTATTTAAAAAATCATTTTGATTCACATATTTGTCAAAAACACATACCCAAAAGGCAACTTTTTAATTCTCAATATTAGTTAATGTGATAAGAACTTAACATTAGAAGCTGTATATAAGCCAAGTTGTACAGATGTTAATTTTTACAATCAACTTGAATTATGTGAGAACACATCTATCATTATAGATGGGGATTGGAATGCACCACAAAACTATGTTGAAGATACAAAACAAATGTTTAAGTAGGAACAATGTAATGAATCACGATAAAATCATAGATATTATGGAAACTTGTGATCTCATAGATATTTGGCGAAAGCAAAATCCGGATATACACCTATATATACTTGGCATGGTCCAAATAGGAAACAAGCAAGATTAGATTATTTTGTAGAATCTTCAGATTTGGCTACATTTTTCATTAAGAGTGGGATAGGTATTAGCTACAGGTCAGACCATTGTCCAATATCAATAGTAATTAGATTCATCAAACAAGTAAGGGGTAAGGGAACATGGAAATGTAACAATTGTTTTTTGAGAGATGAAGAATATGTAAAGATAATAATAGAATGTATAAATGAAGTAATTGATCAATCTGCAGAAAAAGTCCTACAGTAGACGACACGGAATTATGAACATTTAATATAAGTGACTGTTTATTATGGGAGACGAAAAAATTTACAATAAGGGGAAAGACTATTGCCTATTCTGCAAAGAAAAAAGGTAAAAGGATCAAGAAGAAAAATAATTAGAGAAAAGAAACAATACAAAAAGCAGAGAACAGACAATTAGATCTTATCGGGGAATTGGAAAATGAATTGAAATTAATCGGGGAAAGGAAAATAAATGGTATTATCTTAAGAGCAAAATTAAGGTGAAAAGTAGAAAGGCAGAAAAGTTCTAAATATTTTTGCAATCTGGAGAAAAGACATTTTCAGGAAAACTCATCCCTAGACTTATAAAGGAAAATGGACAGGAAGTTTTATTATGCACATTTATACACCAAGAAAACATTAGACAATAATCAACATGTATTTTTTGATGCCACAAATCCATATATATATATAAACAAATTGTAAGATGCACTAAGTAATCAATTAGAAGGTGAATTAGAGTATCGTGAATGTCTTTTTCTCTGTAAAACAATATGAAAAATGATAAATCGCCAGCATTGATGAATTTTACCATTTTTTCTAGGCAGATATACATATGTTGTATACGCTCTTTAAACCAGGCACATGCAGATGGTCAATTTTCAATTTCGCGACGACGTGGTATGATTATCTGTATCTCTAAGGAAGGAAGTCAAATTATTTCTGAAAAACTAGAGGCCCATAACCCTGTAAATGTTTATTACAAAATAACCTCATCTGTTATTTCAAACAGAATTTAAAAAGTATTATATATCCTCATTAGTGATACACAAAAAAAAGTTTTTTTTAAAAAGAAGATATATTAATGAATGTACTAGACTAATCGCAGATCTGATAGAATATAAAGAACGAAATAATATTTCAAGACTTCTTTACCGATTGACTTTGAAAAGGCATTTGGCTCTTTAGAATTTAATTTATCCTTGATTCTCTACATTTTTATGGTTTTGGGGCCATCCATTATTCAATGGATAAAATCTTTTTACAATAATAGATCATGTTGTATTATAAAAAAAAAGGCCATTGTTCAGAATTTTTAAATGTGCATCGTGGAGTACATGTAAGGCAGGGGGACCCTGACAGTCCATATATATTCATTTTATGTGTAGAATTACTCAGCTCAGCTTAGAAAGGTAGTCATGATATCGATTGCATTATAATTAATAACTCATCAAATTAATTAATCAATTTGCATATGACGCTTCTTTTACGTTACCAGATGATCCAGGTTCCCTTGAAACAACCTTAAATATTTTGGAAGATTTCGCAAAAGTATCAGGACTAAAATGAACTTTGAAAAAACTCAGGCGGTATGGATTGGGGCTTGTTTGGAATTCTACCAGAAAGAAATGTATCATAGATACATCAGGGCATTTTTAAACTACTTATAGAAAACGAATATTTTTGAAGATAGATATATTGAAAAATTAAGATCTGTTCAGATTTTATTGAAAGATTGGTCCTTCCGAAACCTATCATACACGTACTTAGGAAGAGTAAGTGTTATACGAACTCTAGCATTGCCTATTTTTATCCAGACATTTACTGTTCTTCCTGACCCCACATCATATATCATAATCAAACTACAGAAATGCCTTTTTCATTTATTGCTGGAATGAAAGCCAGATAAAATCAAGAGAAATGTTATGTATAGCGATTATCATAATTGCGACTAAGCCTGCCAAATGTTCTATTTTTTGTCATGCATTAAAGATGACATGGATAAAAAAGATCATCAACCCCTTAAATCAGGCAGCACAGAAGACGTTAATATTACACAAACTTGATTGTCTTGGTGGTGATACAATTTTTAAAATGACTAAAAACGTATTATCAGAATTGGCAAAAACGTTAATATCTTTTGGAAGGAAGTTTTTATAGTTTGAGCTTCTATGCAAGACAATGTATCCCCTACAACCCCTTAAGGAAATTGCCTCTCAACCCATTTGGTATAATGATATTATTAAAAGTGACAATAAATGTATTTTTTATGAAAACTGGAGTAAGGAAAATGTATTTTTTGTATCTGATTTATTGGAAAATAATATTGTTATGTCTGATGTAGTCTTTTCTCATAGGTATTATATTAATGTGAATTTCATAGATTACTATGGAGTAAGTAATGCCATACCAAAAAATTGAAAAGATATTTTGCAAAATGTAAATGGAAAAATACCTCCAATTACTTGCAAATTAATATACTTTCTCAATACACATAAATAAGTGACCAATTACTTTCATAGTATTCTTGTTAAAACTGTCTAAGGAAAGCCAACAAATATTCAAAGGAAATGGCAAGAAATGCTCCATAGTAATTTAAATGAAGAGACTTGGAAATTGTTCAACTCAGTACCAAGGGAGATTACTGATGATACAAAACTTATAAAGTTTCATTATAAAATAGTGCACAGAATTGTGTATACCAACTCAAAATTAATGAAATGTAAGCTATGTGAAACTAAGAAATGTACATTTTGCACAAATAAAAGAGACATCATTACACATCTATTTTGTCAATGTAGAACAGTCAAAACATTTTGGTTATTGCTGATAGATATGTTAGAAAATAAGTACCAAATTACCGTATCTAGAAACCCAACAGTCTTCATTTTTGGTGTAACAGAAAAAGAACACAGAGATGAAATGTACTTTGTATTTCTTATTTTGAGATACTATATATATTGTGTAAATTAAATAATTCAATTCCAACAATTGCTGAAAGCAAAAAATACAGTAATTATTATAACAACATAGAAGACATGGGTATCCATATCTATCACTACAACAAACAAAGAAAGATAAAAAAAATAATGGAATTTTATCAATCAATTATTCAATTAAGTCTTGTGTGTAGAAAAGTCCAGATTGGAAACAAACTCTCGATCTTGTAATATATTCATAAATTATATCACATTGTACTAGATTCATGTAATATTTAGATTATTTAACGTTTTTGATGTTCATGTTTACCATGTAACACAAAATAAT